GTTGAACAAGTTTAAACTCCCACCAACAGTGCATTAAGGTTCCCTTCTGTCCACATCCCCTCCAGCATCTGTTGTTATTAGAGTTCTTGCCTCTTCAGTAAATGGTGCTAGGAAAATTTGTTAATCACTTGTAGAAAACTAAAGCTAGATCCTTATATATCACCCTGCACCAAAGCAACTCCAAATGGATCAAAGACTTCGAAGTCAAAGCAGACACTCTGAAAACATTACAGGATGGAATCAGAGAAACCCTAGGTCTCCTGGGTACATGCTGAAATTTTCTTAAAAGAGACCCAGAAACACAAAAAAACAAAGAAAATCTGGACAAATAGGACTGCACGAAATTGAAGAGCTTCCCCATAGCAAAGGACATAGCTAGCAAGATCAATAGAAAGCCCACAGATGGGGAGATCTTCACTAGCCATGCAATGGATTAGGGTCTCATATCTAAAATATACTTAGAATTTGAAAAATTAAATCCCCCAACAACAAATTCTCAAAGAAACAACTGCCCAAGAAATAAGTGGGCTAAAGACTTAAAGACAACGTTCTCTGAAGAGGAAAGTATGGCCCATAGACACCGTTCCTTTTTCTTTTCTGTTGCACCCATCTGGCTATTTGCATATTGCTCCCTAAAGGGGACCTTCCTTTTTAAGTCTGAAATAAAGGCTCAGCTATGATCTTGCCTTGACCTGTCTAGACTCCTCATTTCACTCCTAAAAATGAAGTCCTTGTCTCAGATCCTGTGGCTGTTAATGCTCTGGATCCATGGTAAGGGCAAAGGAAGGTGAAGAATCAGAGAGGGTGGGAGGGTGAGCTCTCATGGACCAGTGGTAATTTATCCATGTGTTAGATGTTCATTGTAGGGCAATGAGGTTTAGGTCTGAGAGAGTGAGGAACAGTCCAGAAAGCTAGAACCTGTGCTTGAGTGAAGACTGTGCTATGTGGCAATACTGCACTTGACTCCTAGAGACACTTCTCTGCTGCAAGAATATCACTTTTAATACTTGGTATTTTAAATTAAAAATCAAATCATGAATATGAATAAGAGGAAACATATATCTAAATAAAAGTAATGCATGCATGGCTCCCTATGTTTATATATAATCTTGCTCTCTGCCTCATTCTAATTTCAGTATCCAGTGGAGATGTTGTGATGACCCAGACTCCAAGGTCCTTGCCTGTCACCCTGGGAGAGCCAGCCTCCATCTCCTGCAGGTCTAGTCAGAGCCTTCTCTATAGCAATGGAAACACCTATTTGAACTGGTTCAT